GGTTGGTATGAAGAAAACTCTGGTTTTCTACAAAGGGAGAGCTCCAAAAGGTGAAAAGACAAATTGGGTTATTCATGAATTTAGATTAGAAGGAAAATTGTCTCTTCACAACCTGCCAAAGACAGCAAAGGTACACATAATCAAGATTCAAGCAACCTCTCTATCTCGTAACGAGGTAGAGGTAAGGTCTGCATACATTCTGTTCTCTACAGACTCCACTTATGAAATTACAGTCGATATGTTTGTTGTTGTTTTTCAATTAAAGATTCTTTTTTTGGTGTTTTGTAGAATGAATGGGTGATTTGCAGAGTGTTTCAAAAGAGCAGTGGTGGAAAGAAAATCCACATTTCAGGGCTTTTGAAATTGAATTCAAATGAAAATGAAATGGGGAATTCATTTCAGCCACCATTGACAGATTCTGGTACTGCTTCGAAATCCAGCCACGTGCACTGCTTCTCCAATTTTCTCACTGCTCAAAACAATTGTTTCCCTCTTCTGTCAAATCCAATGGATAGTTTTCCTACAACTTCTCTAGTTCCAAATACATTTTCTTGTAACCAAATAGCCCCATTCACTACAAATAATCCAGGTTCATTTGGGGTTCAAGATCCTTCAATTCTTCTAAGGACTTCACTTGACAACTATGGTCTGAATTTCAAGAAAGAGGACATTTTTAATGTACCCCAAGTAACAGGGGTAATTAGCACTGATATGAATACTGAAATTCCCTCAGTTGTCTCAAATCTTGAAATGAAAAGAAGGTTTCTTGAAGATCAGGTGCCATCAGCAGGTATGATTGGATTACAGGGTCTTGATTGTCTCTGGAGTTGCTGAATTATCTTGAAACAGAAATGTCAAATAAGTTGAAAAAAAAAAAAAAAGATGAGAAGAGGTACAACTTTAGTTATTCTGGACTGGAATGAATTGTATGTGCATGGGTTGTTGCATTGATGGTGTAAAGATTCATTTATACTGTCAGTGAATATAAGTTAAATCTATCGCACAAATACTATCAGTATGCTAATGTTTTGTTGCTTTTTGTTTCTCAAGTTTGCTTCTCATGGGCAACTTATTAGATGGTGATGTTGAAGTTATATAAATTTAGTAGTGAATGGTGTAAGCATGTAACTGTGGGAGATCAAAGTTGGTGACGTTGTGATCTTTTTTACTGTGTTTTTTTCTATGGAAAAACTATACTCTCTTCCATCTCTACTATTTGTATTTAGTTATATGTCATGATTCAAAAATAGTATCTTATATACTAATTGTACTTTCATCCTTTTATTATTTGTTGTCGATTGAAAATCAATGTAAGATTGCGTGTAATAGGCCTATGTGGTCAGGTCATTCTCTGGATCCTATGCATAACGAGAGCTTTAGTGCACCTAGCTATCTTTTTTATCAATTTGTAACGAAGCACATTTAAGAATATTGCCTGTTTAATCTTGACATTATTTGATAGTATTTCCCAAAAGAAATTTCTCTCCTATAAGTAATAGTAAAATCAGGTAACATTCCTCTTTTGATAAAAAAAAAAAAAAAAAAAAAACAGAAAGAAAGAAAATTAAAGATACTCATATTCTTCTTAATGTTCTAAAAGGGTCACTTTAATTAATCCCCTTTCCCTTTATTCCTAAACACAACAAAAATTTGCAAGTCAACCTCATCCTAATCAACCAAACTATATTTTGTAAAAAAAATAAAAATTGTATTCCTTTGTTTCAATTTGTTTTTTTTTTAAAGTAAAGCTTTAATTTTAATTTTCTACGCAATATATTTAAGATTATACGATTAAAAGATATTATAATATATTTTATACATTTAAAATCATAAAATTTATTTTAATTGCTACTCAAGTTAAAATTGGACAACTAAATTGAAATACTCACATATCCACTTCGATATGAGGTGTGATTTGTCGTTTTTTTAATCTTTCTTTTTGTGATAGTCAAAAACTTTCAAGTATTTTACATGTCATATAGTAATATTTTCTACACAAGAAAAAATCGTTGTGGACGTTTGGTTATTTTAATGTCTAGAAAACAAATAAAGGAGGAAAACAACTTTTGTTTCATAAGTTTTTTATTATGATGCAAATTTTCTCAACGTTTGCTATATATCATTTGCTCCTACTAATTAAGCATGGAACAAATATTTTCACACGACAATATTTGATTAGGTATGAAATTAATTAAGAATTTTTTCCTAGAACTTGTGATCAAAACAAGTTACAAAAATACATGTCTGATTATAACTAAAAGTATATCGAATAAATTGGAAAGATAAATTAAATAATATCATATATTATTAGTGGTCTGTTTTGCAATCACCACCTATGTCATACTTCATCAATTTTTATCCCAAAAAAAACATTAATTTTTAATATATGTTAAAAGAGGTTGAATCAAGCGAGTTAAAATATCAATCACGATACTTCAGTCGTCACCATTTACTATCCCCACATAACAAGGACAGAATCAATCCTAAATAGTAATAAACATATCTAAACAAGATAGGATAAGACGAATTAAATTCACTCTCGTCTTGCTATGCTTCGCTCTACCTTGTCCCGCCCCACTCTACTCTATATCTTGGTGTCTGATACTCACATTAGAGTCTGAATAAATTTAGATTTACATCGAAAAATTTCACATCGAGAGATAAAATGCTCCTTAACAAAGATAATTTCATACCTAAGGAGACTCGAACTCAAAACCTTGATTAAGGATAAAACATTAGATTTTCACACACATGTCAATTTGCTAAATCAACTTTTGGGCAAACATTCTATTGTGACGCCACAATATTCTTACTTTTTGTCATACTCACCCCACTACTGATTTTTTCAATATAAAATTCACGATTACAATCTGTTGGCCAATATGCAAGGAACAATATAATTAATATTCCTTTTCGTCACAATGAAAACAGTGTTAAAGAGTCTTCTTCTTTACCATCAGATAGAAACATATGAGGTACATACAAAAAGAAATAATACTATATTACTAACAAAAAATCCATTTCAATCAAACATATACTAAATTCTTATAGAATATGCAGTGATGTCCCTAAACAATGGAATATTCCTTGCATTTCAATTCGTATGACGTTAATTTGACTGAGTATGACATTCAAGAAAAAAAGAAAGAAAACATTGAAACTTGATGTTTAAATGTGTCATAGTATTTATGTGATTATAAATCTTTTGAAACGTAACGTGTCATACCATTTTTGTACGACTATAAAATTTGATGCATTTGTCATCAGATGTAAAATGAGAAGATAAAGTTAAATAATTTTTAACTTTAAAAAATAATTCTTTAGGAATTAACGGACTAACAAGAAAATAGTCTCTTTTTGGGATGTGGAGTATATATTTTGCTTGTTTACTACCAACAATTAATCTACATATCAATTTTCCCAAAAGTAACCATATTTATTATTGAAAAAAGTTAACCTCCCGATGTCACCATATATATATGATAAATATAATTGAGAAGTGCACGTTACATACATTAATCCTAAGATCATGAACAAAATTTGTCGATATGCTGTTCTTTTACTACTATATATAGATTTCAAGATTTGAATTTTGGAATCTATAACGTTTATTATTTTATTTTATTTAAATATCTCGAGATCTTCCTACGATTTAACCTAAAATTAGAGCAAAAGATAGGTGAATTTTAAAATGAAATCACATGAATATCCACTTTAATTATCATATAAAATACTAAAACGATATGTTTGTCCCCAAGGGATTAACAAATTAATTAACAAACTAAGGTCATGATCACTTGTGATCTACATTTTTTATTTTGTAGAATGTTCTACCAATCATAAGGGCTCACGTCAAACAATTCTCCATATATTTAAACACTAAAATATTATTGGGTTTTTCCTTAATAAAAATATGTTATCATACATTTTCACGTGTTCCCTACTATATATCGTTATGTCGACATTGACCTCATCAAAAACCAATTAAATTCATAGTATAATGAGCAGTATCCATCCCCAATTTGATAAACGTTATGAGAAAATGCTCTGACTCATATATAATGATAGCTTAAAGTTTTTTTTTTCCATGTTATCAGAGTGTAGTGTAACATAGTTCATAAGAAACTAAGAAATTACCGTCAAACTTCTTTATAACTATATTTTTTGGCTGCATAGAAACATAATATAATGAAATATATTATAGAGGATTATTATAGAGAGTTCTGATTATAATTAGGTAGTTAAGATAGGATAAAGTCGTTTTAATCTTTTTTCTTTTGTGGGACTTGAATCTGTATGTATATACTATGTGAAACTAGGCAACTAGAAGAGGAACCAGAGTATATTCAAACAGATATTAGAAGCTCTCTCAAAGAACTCCAACACAAAGAAACATGAATGGAAGTATCAAGTAATTTACATCTGCGAGCGCTTAGCTTCAAAATCAGCTCTAGCTGCAGACTTGAATAAGAGTTGTATTTATTTGAACTTACAATGTTTTGCAGTTATGAAGTTGTATCATCAAGATCTATGTTTTTCTCCTTGATTCTAAGACCAAAAACTTGATGCCAGAACAATTTAGGCCAGGAGGCTCGCCAACATGGGATTCCGCGTTTCCTGCCTCTTATTGGTTGTGCATACTATTCCATATCATCAGATTTCGGACAACTCATTCAATATCAGATCCAGCCTCTCCACGGTCATCTCCTGCCATAGCATCTGCAGGATAATGGCCATTGAAAACTATGAAATTTTGCATATTCCAAAGTTTTGCTACAGTTGTAATCCGAGGGTACACTTGCGCCTTAGTGATGCTCCTCCAATCAAGAAGTCTGAGGTTGCTCACTTCAGTTGCTCTTCACTCTTTTCCATAACTGCAAAATCGATAGCTCCCCAGAGATATTCATCTATAATCAGCACAACTCAAAAGGCTCGTGCTACTCAGAAGATACTGAATTTTACAGATAAGGATGCCTCTTTAACATAATAATTAGTAACTGCTATGTACATGATCCTGGAGGTTTTGCATTAGAGATGCTCCAGAAGAAACTAGACCTGAATCTTTTAATTCCTCATAACACTTACGAGTTGAACTGAGATCAACCATGTCTTGGTAGCCCTTGAGCAAGATTTTGTACATGAAAAGATTAGGCATAAAACCAGTCTTTAACATATCTGCCTTTAGCATCATGACACGAGTTATGTGCCTGGTCTCGAAATGACGTTGTATCATCATGGCATAAGTGGATAAATCTGGATACAGACCATTGCGTCGTAGATCCACGAAAAACTTATTGGCTTTGAAATACTGCCCATCTTTGCATAGACCATGGATTAACGCAGAATAAGTAACATTGTTGGGGAAAGAAAGAACACCATTACTGCAGTCTACTTCGACTCCTGTAGATCCAGAACTGCTTATTTTCAAGAAAAAATTGATTGCTTCACTAATCATTCCATTCTTGAGAAATCCATCAACCAAACAAGTAAAAGTCAAAGCGTTAGGAGCAACTCCAGCCTCCACCATCTCCTTATGTAGCCTTAGAGCAGCTTTTGTGTTTCCTTTTTTGAAATGACCATCAATCAACGCTGTATAAGCAACCACATCAGGCTTCAAGCCTTTAATAATCATTTCAGTATAGACACCCATTGCAGCTTCTAGATCCCCTATCTTACCAAAACCATCTATCAATATAGAGAAAGTGAGTACATTGGGCTTGACACCTTTCTCTATCATCTGAGAACACAATGCCAAAGCCTTCTCCATATTTCTATCCTTGCAATACCTATCAATCAGCTGATTATAAATCACAGAGTTCACGACCACCCCTGTTGCGCCCATTTTCAGCAAAAACCTCTCAGCTTCGTCCACTTTCCCCAGCTTACAATAACCCTTTATCAGTGTACCATAAGTCACAACATCTGGAGAAATACCAAGCTTTTCCATCTCAGAATGCATCTCTAGTGCAGTTGACATATCATACCAATTGCAACAGCCATCAATCAGACAATTATAGATAAGTAAATTGGGACCTACCCCAAACTTTACCATACATGCTAATAAATTTCTTGCTGTTATTACTTCACCCACTTTGCAAAGCGGGTCGATCAAGGTACCAAAAGTAACAACATTTGGAAGAATTCCATGCTTCAACATTTTTTGATAAAGTTGAAAGGCTCTTCCAGTATCAGCCTTCTTGCTATAGCCATCCATTAGAGTATTATAAGTGCAAAGATTAGGCATAACTCCCATCTCCCCCATTTTGCTGAATATGCTTTCAGCTTCCTGTATCTTATTCTGATTGCAAAACCCACGTATCAGAGTGGTGTATGTCACAACATTTGTTTGAATCCCTTTCTCAACCATCTCATCATATAGTGTTTTAGCTTTCAAAATCTCACCTTTCAGACAGCATGCATCAATCAATACTCCATATGTCACTACACTAGGACATAACCCAAAGGATAGCATATCCCTATAAACATCCCACATGAATTCAAACTTACCCATTTCTACATACCCATGTAAAAGAGCATTACAAGCATGCAAAGGAGGTAACTTTCCCATCTTTTGGTACACCCAGTAAGCGTCATCAACAGAACCCATTTCAGATAACGCAATAATCAACACCCCAAACACATTACAGCTAGACCCAGAGTCTATTTTACCAAGATCATTGAAAATTAAAGAACAAACCTTTCTGGGGTTGCTGTTTTTTCTAAGATTTTCAATGAGTCGTTTTATCAAACATCTGGCGTCAAGATACAATCTTGCTCGGGTTAAATAATGAATAATGGCTGAGTGTAATGTAAGATCCTTTGTTGGGTCTGTTCTTAAGATTGTTGAATTGAAAAGCCGCATGGCTTCGCTACAGGTCTTGGCATTGAGAATTGCGGCAGATGAAGAAGGGGAAGTTGAAAATGGCAACGCTACAATGGTTCTTGAAATGACTGGGGACTTTATGCGGAAAAGGGTTTTCAAGTTCTGAGAAGAATACTTTGACATTGCTGATTCCATATCTACATCTCCATTACTTGTTCTGCTTTTAGTACTTCTTCTGCTAATGATGCTAGTCACTCTTTTAGACAATATTTGAAATATGATGTCCGTAATAAAATAATTAATCTTTTTATATTAAACAATGAAACAAACACCCTATACAATTTTAAACTACAGTTTCTCACTTCATCAAATTACACATTTTTTTCTATTCATTCATCTCATAGTTCAAAACAACTAGAAGGTATAGAAAAACTTTTGAAATTCCAAATTCATGGGATTAGAGATCAGTTAGATATTTGGAGCGTGGAAAACATGACCAATATTGGGTAAATCGAGAATAATGATGGGTATATCTCTTAAACATGTAAATAAAATGGACTTTGAGTCTAACTCGACTCAAAAACTCAGATCATGAGGTGAGAATTGCTCGAGAAAATTAAGGGGAACACCTCATTATCTGTCAACAAAATATAGGCTATTCTAACATGTTCATTTAAATTAAGCTAAGCTCTCTCTTTATTCATATATGTACAAGTGATTCTGCTTAATTTCATTTTGTTATAAACCAGAAACAATTTTTTTCCTTTTTGATAACCTTTTCAACTAATTCTATTAGATACGTGTTACTTCCCACTAGCAATAGGTATCAAGTAATCGAAAGAAATCACCTAATGTTTTGAATATGAGATTTCTTAACCAACTTTATTGACCACCGGGCCACAACCTTGGGTGCTTTGGAAGAACAAAAATGATTTTGCTTCTACTTGTTCTTTTCTTGCGTGTTGTTGCTACCATAAATGTAAGGACATGGTCAAGTGAAGTTTCATATAACGAAAAACATGATGAAATTTAAGCATTGTTGCATACTTGCATATATACGTAGTTTGATAGTGTTGTGCTTATGACATCATCTTATGTTTTTAGGTGCAACGATGAATTATGATGCAGTTTGTACCTGGAAAAGTACATACACATGTTTTTGCTAGTCAGAAAATCAGTCGAAGTGTTTCTAATTCGTGATCATCGGTGATCACGAAGTCAATCCTCAAAAGTTCCCTCCCCCAGTGTCCACAACATTAGTAGTAAAGTAAGTGTATGATTTTTCACAGATACGTTTGCTTCACTAGATCAGTTGATTATATTGTCTTTCATTGGATTTCAAATTGGTTAGGTTGATCCAAAGATAAGTATTTCGATTTTCTCCAACACGTGAAGCTGACGAAAAAATGAGTAGATTGGTGGCTATCTTTTGCATTGCTTTTGTTTTTGTTTGGTGCCAAAGAGGAATTTGTGCTTTCAGAAGGAAAGCTGACTGACTTCTCCCTTCCTACCATGCATAAACAAACACATGTGATGCTTCTAAATGGTCCCCATTGCTAAAAACTTGTGTTCTGTGAGAAGCTCTGGCCAAACTTTTTTCCGTGGTGATCATGACAATCATAACTACTAAACTCTGTTCTTGCTGATCAGCAATATCTCAACTCGTTTGCTGTTATAGATGCATATAATCAATCTCCTTAGAGAACCTCCATCTTTGATAAGCGATGAGTATGAACATTAGTGGCTGAGAGTATGAGGGTTCTTCTCTTCAGATTTGCTACGAAGGGAAAGAAATTGCAGTTACACAAACCGCAAATGGAATTAGAAAAACCACTTTAGTTTTCCTTTCTGCTAATTTTGGCTAATCCTAATTTTCTTTCAAACAAATGCAGCACACGGGACAAACACATATTGCCAACTAGAGGTTAGGCCTGCTTTATAAATTTGGTATACCAAACTTCCTGTTGGATATAGCTCATGTATATAACAAACATAGTTTCGATAGAATATTGAGAGTCCTCGTTGCCAGATTATACAGTAACTACTTCTTCCAAACTCTCGAGTGAGTAGTGTCAATGGACAGGGGTGAGAGCATTATTGTAAGTGAAAATGGTTGTAACAGAGATCAAGTTATGACCAATGATCTGATGGATTTGAGCAGTGTGAGGGTTCTTCTTTGTGACACTGATGTTGAGAGTTGCCAGGAAGTGTTAGCCCTTCTAAAGAAATGTTGTTACCAGGGTAATACTTCTGCCAATACCTTATTCTATACTATAATGCAAAATTATATACATTATTATTGTTGTTTCCTACTTTGCTTTTCTAAATCATTCTGTTATATTTTCCATTTTGGGAAAGTATTAGATTAGGTATGAAACTCCCATCACGACTTGTTAAGTGGGATAATATTGAGCCACTTTTTCCCTTTCCTGTATTATGGAATGTCTGCATAAATAATACACAACAACAACATACCCAGTGAAATCCCACTAGGTGGGGTCTGGGGAGGGTAGAGTGTACGCAGACCTTGCCACTACCTCGTGGAGGTAGAGAGGCTGTTTCCGAAAGACCCTCAGCTCAAGTACATCAAATCCAAGTTAAAGGCGAGGAAAACAGTGTATAAAACATACCATCCAATAAGAAAGATAGTAAATAATCAACAGAGGAGACAGTAGCCTCAATAGAACAATGAGAGAAGTGAAACGCAATAAACAACATAAGGTTATAGGTATCACAGACAAGAACTGCAAGTGCAAGGCTAAGACTACTACACACGCTAACAACCATACCCTCGCAAGAAAGGACAACACGCTAGCCCTACTAACCTTCAACCTTAATACGCGACCTCCACTCCTTCCTATCTAGAGTCATGTCTTCGGTAATGTGAAGCTGAGCCAAGTCCTGTCTAATCACCTCTCCCCAATACTTCTTAGGCCTACCTCTACCCCTCCGCGTACCCTCTACAACCAGCCCCTCACACCTCCTCACTGGGGCATCTTCGCACCGTCTCTTTACATGTCCAAATCATCTCAGTCTCGCTTCCCTCAGCTTGTCCACCACAGAGGCCACTCCCACCTTCTCCCGGATAACTTCATTCCTAATCATATCACTCCTAGTGTGCCCACACAACAAAATAGACGCACAAAAAAATATCCCTATAGTATTATTCATCAAACATACAAAAAATTAACCGAGTGATATTTTCTTTAATAAGAAAACTCAAACAACTGCATTCATACTTCAAAGTCAATTTCTTTGTGTATAAAAGTATTGATAGGAACAAAACAGACACACAAAAAAATCTCCCTATTGTATTATTCATCAAACATAAAGTATACTTATATGAACAAAACATACACACAAAAAAAGATCTCCCTATAGTATATTACTTATCAAACATACAAAAAAATCAACTTCCTTACCAAATGATATTTCCTATAAAAAGAAAACTCAAACATCAACATTCCTACTGCAAAATCAATTTCTACGAGTATAAAAGTATTGATAGGAAAAAAAGCAGACACACCAAAAATCTCCCTAAAGTATTATTCATCAAACATACAAAAAAAATCACATCTTTATAACCAACTGATATTTTCTATAGTAAGAAAACACAAAACATCAGCATTAACTACTACAAAGTCAATTTCTTGTATAGAAGTATTGATAGGAAAAACAAAGCGCACACACAAAGAATCTCCTTAAAGTATTATTCATCAAACATACAACAAAATCGCAACTTTATAACGAGTGATGTTTTATATAGTAAAAAAACTCAAACATGAACATTCCAACTGCAAAGTCAACTTTTTTGAGTATAAAAGCATTGCTAGCAAAAAAATCTCCTATAGCATTATTTATCAATTCATACAGAAAAATAACAACTTTATAAGCGAATGATACTCTATACAGTCACAAAACTCGAACATCATCATTTCTTATGCTCCCGAACACTGTCTTCAGCAGGTCGAAGCTCAATCAACCACATAGAAACCCTAAACCCACAGTGGCGGCAACAGTAGAACACACATAAAGCTACAATCTTTCATTTTCACAACGAAAACATACATTCATCTCGTTACGATAAGACAAACAAAAGGGGAAAATGCATCTATTGAAGAATTTCGAAGCTGGAAAAAGTGCGAAAAAAGTAAAAATTTAACCTTTGGAGATCTGATTAAGGCGAGAATCAAATAATACACGATTAACTAAATTAATTCCCCTACGGGAACAGAGAAATTTCCTAATTAAAGCTTGTCATTAATTAGGTAAGTGACATGATTCAACAGCAACTAGCCTAGCTAGCTATAACATTAAGGAAAAGTCTCATCCTAGAGAATGGTTTTTCGTTACTGTCTTGCTATCTCTTAAAACTTGAGAGGAGGACGTCATATAAATTCATGATTGTGAGTTCTTGTGTCAAGGAATCTTCACTCTATTTGCTTAAAAGAAGATTAATGCATCATTTTAAATGTTCCACTCAATGATCAAGAAATCTGGATTTTTTTCACTATTTTTGCTTCTTGCTGCACAGTTACCCCAGTGTATTCAGCAGCAGATGCGCTAGATGCACTGAACTCTCACGGGCAATGTATAGACATCATACTAACTGAAGCCTCCCTTCTTATTTCCAATGGCGCAAAGATTTTCAATTTCATCAAGCCGGACATCAATTTAAAACAGATTCCAGTGATCAGTAAGCTCTTTTCCATTTTATTTTTCTACTCAGAATAGTAGAGATCATGTACAAGGTATCCTTTCTTTTCGTCTAATGTCTCATTTCATTTTGTGTGTGGAAGTGATGTTGGATGAAGACGAGATCTGTCTAGTCTTGAAGGGTTTGATGCTTGGAGCAACAGATTATCTTGTCAAACCATTGAGCAGTAATGAGCTAATGAAACTATGGACACACATGAAGAGAAAAGGCTCATCACAGTTAGTATATTAATGAGATTCTCTTAGTGATGTTAAATGTGTTATATTACTGTACTATTCCTTAAGCATAATAATATTATTACCAAGTCAAGGAAATTAACAATATAATGTTCTGTATTAGTTTCTCAACATCTTCCACAATTGGTTGATCATTATAAAGGACACTGTCTGTTGCTTCTTGTTAATGCTTATTCTTTCTTGCTCTGAGTGAAGGTAACAGAGAGATGTAGATGGTGTCAACTGGGAATGTAAATAAGAAAAAAATGGTGTTATAAGCTATGTTGCTCAGACTTGTTAAAACTATTGTAATGTGTGTGTGACAGATCTTCCATTCATGCAAGATTCAACACGAGTTTGAGGGTCCGAGCAAGATAGGTTATAATTGCACAAGTTTTAATGAGTACTACAGTTGACAAAATGAAATCCATAAAGGTTTTAAACATAGCTGACTTGTTTATACATGTGACTATACAGAAATATCTAATTTTGTTTCCATCAGAAAATAACAATCATGTTTATGCCAATTTCAACATATGCATACTATATACTTTACTTAATAATTTTATATATAACTATTTTATTTTGTGACTCTTATAATAAGAGAATTTTTCATTTTACTACAAAGTACAAACAAACTATTTCATATTATTTTTTTTCAAAAAAATATAAATAAACAAGAATAAAATTCGTTGCAACAAGACGATAGAGAAGATATTTAGCTAAAAAACAGTTGGAAAAAGAAAGTGGGGAGACGTGTCAATAAAAGGGAAAAAGGACGGTTTTTAGTTTTATTCCAACAAAATTAAACCAATAAGAAAAGATATAGATATTTGTTGCCGCTCACGTGTCGGCGTATAGTCACTCCACTCCCTTTCATAATCAACCCTTCTTTTCACCATCGGTACCCACCGCCGCCGACCCATTTTTAGAAGCGCCGCCTCAATATTATTTTCGTTATCAAAATTTATCTCATGCTTTCATTTTTAAGAGTTAAATAGTTTAAGTTTGATCGAAAATTTATGCACAAAATCTTTATTTTTTAAAAATAAAATTTATATATTTATAAATTATGTAAAATGTATTATAAGTCACAATAATTAATAATTCAAAAGATTTGTGAAAAACTTACTATCAATTTGAATCTCGAAATCCAAAAAATATCATATATAGGGACCGAGGGAGTATATTTTTTCATTCCTCATCCGAATTTACTTATGCCTGTTTACTTTTATTTGTTTATCCTTCCAAAAATAAATTTGTATTTTTATATGTTATTTTTAATATATTAAGAAAAAATTATTTTTTCATGTTTTATCTTGAATATGAATCACTTATTTTCACCACCATAGAATGTGCTACAACTAATGAAAATGTTCCTTCCTTAATTGAAGGTTTCGAGTTCAAGTTTTAGATATGAAATAATCTTTGGTAGAAAAGCTTAGCTCGTTTTAAGACTCTATGTGACATGAATCCACAATAGTAGGCATTGGGCACAGAGCGCTTCCCTCAGAATGGGATCCTATGCAGCGCGATTTCGGAGTAATCGAGAACTCCAATGCACACACCAAACACAGGTGAGAAACCAAAATTTAAAAAATCACTTATTTTCTAAATTATTTTTAATTTTTGTGACTTAACCATCAATTAATAAATGTAATATGATAAATAACAATGTTAATGAGTGTATCAAATTCAATGTGACAAGTAAAAGGGAATAAGTAAGCTATCTATTAAAGGAAATTTTTTATAATCTATAATCTGCTAAATATGATAATTAATGATTATCACATGTTAATCGTGTAATATCTTATTCTTTCTAGTCAATTTAGAAAATAAACTCAAATTTAAATTAAACATTAGTAATAATTAGTGGATTCAAAACGCAATTATCCATTTCATTTTATACCTTGTCCCTTTCCTAACCCACCTTCCACTTACTATTCAGTTCTACTACTATTTTTCAACCTTGTTTCTTGTACGCCGAGGCGGCGCACATTAGCGTTCACCGTTGTAGCTCAAAAGTGCCATTACTTTTCCTCTCTAATTAAAATTGATTTGATTTAAAAAAATCTATATTATTTTTAATAAAATAATTTATCACCATATAAATAATTAATATTATTTTATATTGTAGATTTTAAAATACTTTGTCCACAGAAAGATCATTTTGACAATTAATGCTATTAGCCAGACGACACCAAATTCCACCTAAAGACTAACTTTTTTCTGACCAGGGGCGGCTCTAATAAATCGGTGGCCTAAAGCCAAATTCGAATGGAGGCCTTAAATTTGAATATATATTTTTTATGAAGTTTATTATAGTCAATATATTTAATCTTTCTTGAGGCATAGTATTCATAATTTGTCAAACGTCTATTACTTTTTTGTTCTTTTATAAAAAGTTTTTATTTTCTACAAATAATAATTTATATTTTTTTAAAAAAAAATACTTATAACCTATTATTATTTTTTAAAATGAGGCCTCTCAAATTTTGGGGCGTAAGGCAATTGCTTTTTTTGCAAAGCTGTAGAGCCGCCCCTGTTTCTGACCGACTCTAAGACTAATCTTTTTTCTGACCGACTCTGCTGTCTGCATGGACTTGTTTATTGTTTAATAAGATAGGAAAACTCACTGAGTAGCAGAAAAATTACATTGCTACCGTGCACCGTACTTTGCTAACTTGCGCCTGATTCGGCCGGCGACATTTTTTTTTTTTGGCGACAGTGGTATCCAATATCTCCTATATTAGTGAAACAGAGTTACCGGAGGATTACATGCTAAAGTGCGCCGATCGGTCCGTCAACGGGGATATTTTTACGTTTATTTTGATTGGTGATTCCGAGTTCCGACCGGTATATATCGGTCGGCGGCTGCTGGGGACTTGGTGAAACAGAAATAGCCGAAGTTTCTAGATTGATTGCTCTGCTTTCTTGTTGTACCGTGCTCAGCGTAACGGTTGGTTGCTAAATGAATTGGATTGGATGACTACGTGATCAGCAAGATGATGCTGTGCTGATCTGGCAGCCATAACTTTAATTATGGTAGTTTTTTTTATCCCTGTAGTGGAGCGGGAAGTAATTGTAATGGAAGTTCTCCAATAACAGTTTTGGGAGAGCTATGGTTGTATTAGAACCCTAATTTTTTGTGTGGTGGTTTTGGAGAAGAATGAGACTGTGAGGACAGGGGATGGGTTTATTGACAGGAGTAAAGTTAGGATTTTGCTGTGTGATAACGATGCCAAAAGCTCGGACGAAGTTTTTACGCTCTTGTGCAAATGTTCTTATCAAGGTAATATCCAATTCTAATGATTAATTCACATTGTGGTGTTTGTAGTTTCTGAATTAGTTTTTATGTGATAAAATTCAGATTGGTAATTGATATCATTTGCTTGAGCTTGCCTTCTTTTGTTAATGCATCTTTTGACTTTGTCACTTTGCATTATTTGTTTAAAAAATAGCCCCCTTTGAATTGCGTGAAAGTAGGATACTTCAACTTCGGGGGTCAAAGAGTTTTAAGCACCTTAGGCACTCTTCAGAGTATGATTTCTTTGACTTGAATTTAAGTTTGAAGCGTGAGATTATTTTCCATGTATTTTGTTCCTTCTCCCATCGGCCTGTCTTTTGTCATTTTAGGGGGAATATGTGTTCTTTCTATTTGAATCCAATGGGTTGTCAACGTAGGAATGTGGTGCATTTTGGGTCTTAGTCAGTCAGTGCAATTGTTTACGCATTGCATAGGGACAATTTCCAAAGGATATACTTAAAATTTTCAAATAATATATTTCTGGGATGAATTTTGTTTTAGAGCATAGTAAGCTTCACAAAGCGTTGTAGTTCTCCCACAAATTCTATTCATTTTCGAATAACCTATGATCCATTATGATAGCAATAGAAGATTTCTCCTCTTTAACTTATTGCAGAGTTTTAATTTTATTTGTATAACTTGATAACGACGTGTCTCTGCTAGCTAGGTTGCACCTCAACTGATCACCTCTTATCAGCACATCAAGTAGCTAGGTTGCTAGGCAGATGAGAAAAATTCACCTTGTGTCACCTTTGTTGGGATATGAACCTTGGTTTTCAAGGTTTTTACTCTAGATTTTTGTTTGAATATGGGGGAAGTTTAGTTTTGCAACTTGTTAGAGGTTCAATATCCAGAGTTTTTCTCCTCCCCTTCCCTCCCAAAACCCGGAGAAAAACAATAAAAGAAATACATGAAGGAGAAAAAGGAAAAATGTATAATGGAAGAAAGCCTTAAGAGGGAAACATTGGGGATTAGGGGCGACTGAGAGGAGTTGATGTTAGTAAGTTACTCTTGTTTTCTGATGTTAGTTCAATCTTCAGTTGCTTGCTACACAGTAGTTCTAGACTCAGCTTTTTAATGATCCTATGACTAATTGTGATGATTGTTGCATTGCAGTGATATCAGTGAGGTCACCCAGACAGGTGATTGATGCATTGAATGCAGAAGGACCTCATATTGATCTCATCCTTTCAGAAGTTGACCTTCCTATGTCTAAAGGATTTAAGATGTTGAAGTACATTATGAGGGATAAGCAGTTGCGACGCATTCCAGTGATCAGTAAGCTGAAGTTTCTGTAAATTGCACACTACCTCGAAATGTACTTATGAGTGTGGTCAAATATACTGTTTCGTTTTCTTTTGTAGTGATGTCATCACAAGATGAAGTCTCTATTGTTATCAAGTGCCTGAAATTTGGAGCAGCTGACTACCTGGTAAAGCCTCTCAGAACTAATGAGCTATTGAACTTGTGGACACACATGTGGAGAAGAAGGAGAATGGCACGTACTTATTCAATCACTTAATCTTTTCTCTGTTTTACTGTTTGCTTTTCAAAATCTTTTTATTTTTACTTGAAATATTTATTTATAGCAAGGATATCTGGAAGTTTAGGGTAGGGAAGCATGTGAGAGTGACTGATATGGACAAATCTTTGATGAATATCTTTTCCCTCATAGGTTTAAATATATTTATTGTTGCTTGTTCTAATATGAATGGAAACAATGTTGGAACCCTCACCCATTTTGTTGTTTATTTTTTTGTTATTTAGGCTGCATGTGAATGAAGTTATCCTTGTACCACTTTTTAATGTTTGTGATCTTCAAACATTCTATGTCAACATCTCTGCAATAATCATTTAATATTGCTTTGTTTCATGTACAGCTCGGACTAGCAGAGAAGAACATCTTAAGTTATGACTTCAATTTGGTTGTATCAGAGCCCAGTGATCCTAATACAAATAGCACTACTCTTTTATCGGATGACACCGACGATAAGTCAAGGAAGTGTATTAATCCAGAAATGTGTCCCTCTACTATGCTGCAAGAAGAAGCAAGATATAAGGTGGAGAAGCAAGTTCTTTTAAAGTTACTTTTGAAAGCCTTTCTAGCACTTTTATGTAATCACCAAAATTCAAGATGCTAATATCATTGATGAATGCCATCTCATGACTTGTTCTTTTGGGGTCTTAAAATTTCGCTTTTTTGGTATTTTCTTAGTACATCAGGAAGGAGAGGGAAAGGGGGAAGGGGAGAGGTTGCTACTCTACTGATGGGATTTGAATCCTCCACCTACAATGTGAAAGGCAGGGTGCTCACCAACGTAGCTGCCCCCCAATCCCTTGGTGTTAGAAACCTAAAATGTCAAGCTTCGGCACTTAAGACTTGAGAGTGGAAAGCTGAGCTAAAAGCATATATGAAGTGGTAGTATGCCTTTTATTTTGGGGTTTTCCTAAAGGGGGAGGGTGTTAAACATATTAATACCTGCAATCTACAGGTTGGATACACTGCTTTCTCCTCTAGATAAACTGATAGAAAATTTGTTGACCTTTGGTAATTCAGCCAGTTCATATTTCATTGCTAGTTGTACATTCTTATATTAGGGTTAGCTTGTGAGGGATGTTTCATTCAAAAATGACATGTTCTGGGGTGTTTGTGGATAAAACTCAGACTTATTATAATTAAAAAAAAGTCAAAGACTTCTAATATAAATTGCAGTAACTTGCAATTCTGATATCCCAAAACATGGATGGTACCTTTTATTCTTGGTAGCAGCACCAGTTTCTCCTTGAGGTCTACTAGTGAGAAGTTATGTTTTGTAGCTACAGATAATAAATGCACCTTTTGTATAAATTGCGGTAACTTGCAGTTCTATTGTCCCAATACCTGGATAATACATTCTATTTTGAGCAGCAATCACCAAGTGCTCCTTAGTCCAAAATGTATTAGTGACAGATCGTGTTCTGTAGCTACAGATGACAAATGTTGTTAGGCAAAGTTGCTTCTTGATCAAACATTGTTGAACTAACATGTGTATCTTGTGCATTTATTGTCTGTCATTTTCTATGTTTTCAGTCTATTCCTTCAACTGATGCTGCTCCCGTAGAGACTGCAGTTGTAGTTCCATTTGAGCATCAGCCTGATGCACCAGGAACTGATGATCAAAGGACAGGTCAGTGGTTCACATGATTTTGAAGATCTTAATGGAAGTATTTATCTAAAATTACATGTTGATAGTTGATGAAAATGAGAACAATCTTCATTTAGAAAACAAATAAGTAAATCATCATCACTGAAAAGGACATTATTTCATTTGGATAATATAATCTTATCTTCCACTATGTCATGTTTACTCGACCCTATAAGATAGAGAACGCAACAGTATATTTGAAGGTATAGCTATTAGTTGTCAAGTTGTTATATGGCTCAAAACCCTTTCCAGCAGTGTCTTACCCCCCCCCCCCCCCCCCAAAAAAAAAAAAAAAAAAAAAAAACTGTAATAAGTAATGAATATTGAGCCTGTTGGAAATGGTGGTGAGTGAGATTTTCTTTCCCTTCGTCCTTGACTGTTATCTAAGTTTCTAGGAACTTGAGTATTTTTCCTGTTGCTTTTGCGTTTGAAGTTATACTATTTAGAAGTTACAAGGCATGCCTAAGAAAGCTAAGAGTGAATAAGAAAGCAGAAGTAAGCTTTATGTAGCATGTAGATTTGGCATATATACAGGAAAAATAGATAAGTACGCGCTATAATACCGTGCCAAAAGTCTGAGGTAGATACTAAGAGAATGCTATACTCCATATGAAGCATATTAGAGCAGTTATTAAGTTCTTGTTTACTGATGTAGAAATGCCTGTACATAGTGAAGTGTTGTAAGCAACTTGATGGTAGTAGCTGTTCCATGTGTTCTGGTTTTATTTGGATTATAATCACGTGAAACGAAATTCTTGTGTCAGTCAATTTAACAGGTTCTAAAATTGATTACTAGGTGATATGTCTTGCTTTATATGCTTATAGAAACTGAATACTTTTTGAGAGATGCAACTTTTCTATATCTTCAAATGAGTTTCATCTGGCATATGCATATGTTTAACAGGAGAAATTTCACTATTTCCTAAGAAGAGTGAATTGAAGATAGGTGAGTCTTCTGCCTTCTTTACATATGTCAAGTCAAGCTTGCCGAAAAGCAATGGCCAAAGCCCAACCTCTATCCATGGAAGTGTGCCTCAGCAATTGGGGATTGAAGAAAAGACTTCATTGGGAGGACATGAACACATTGATACTAACATACAAGTCACTGGAGATGTAGAAAGTCACTTGCAAGGTGATGGCTATCCAAAAAGCAACAATATTCCAAAGTCTTTATCTATTGAGAGGTCATGTACTCCCCCTTTATCACAGGAATTTCCACATCACAGGAACTCAAAAATGGAGGAATTCTCTCAGGTGCATATGCATCTCAAAAATGAGGCTCAGCATGGTGTTTCCAGTTTTCATGCACAAACTCCTTATCCCTATTATATTTCAGGAGTAATGAATCAAGTCATGATGCCATCAACTCAAATTTATCACGAGAGCCTGCAACATCTCCATAATCATGCTAATTCAGCTATGTTGCCTCAATACAATTATATGCCGCGATATCCTCATATGCATGGAATATCATCACATCCTTTCTACCCGATCGGCATGTGCTTTCAACCAGGTCAATTGCCAGCAGCACATCCGTGGCATTCATTTGGCAGTTCATCTTCTGCTGAAATCAAGGTGAGCAAAGTTGATCTAAGAGAGACAGCTTTGATGAAGTTTAGACAGAAGAGAAAGGAAAGATGTTTTGACAAGAAGATTAGGTATATTAACCGGAAGCAACTGGCAGAGCAGAGACCACGTTTGAGGGGACAGTTTGTAAGGAAGGCCAATGGTGTGAATGTAGATGTCAATGGGCAACCTTCTTCAGCAGGCAATGACGATGTTGAAGAAGAGGAAGAGGAGGAAGTACAAATAGAATATTTGGATTCTTCACACGAGGATGATCTGTGAACATGGAGGCGTATTCAGAATTTCGGTAAGATGGGTGCACAATTACGAAAAAATGAATGTTAAGTATAAACTTGATCGGTTTGACTTTTAGGTTCTTAATATGAACCATTAAATTTTAAAAATTATAGGTCAAAAATATATAATACTACTCGTTTTAAATTTTAATGCACACATTTAATTTAACTATATAAGAATTTTATCATGCTAAAATTTTTAGGAATATTTTATGTAACACGCTTGAAAATTTTCAAAAATTAAAGGAAAAAACAAAAGAAGAATTAGTTGAAAAGCCAAAAGTGTAACCGATAACCACTTGAAGAGGTGTTATTCAAAAAGACAAGATAGATATAAGATTTAAATTTTTGTCCTCACCTAGAGAGGTGCACCCAAGTATCATCGTATTATTATATGATACTTTGAACGTGGGTTCACACATCTATATTTAAATATTTTCTTAAAAATATAACACTATTATATATAATCTAGAGAGGGGAGCATGGGTTCACGTGAACCCATGGCACCCCCTTTAGATACGCCCCTGGACTCAGTTGATTGCAACTTTGTGATAGTTTTCTCTTGTATTATCAGAATTCCCTGGGACGGAGATGTACGCTCATGGATGAATGCAGAATGACGCCTTGTTCTACATGCACACAAATGGCACAAGCTTGCTTTCCGCTGCCAATCAACGGCATCTGTGGCCTACATGCACTATCGGGTGTGCAATGAGATTGAATGTTATTCCTGCTCCCTATCACTTTCAGTCCTGTGATTTAGAGCTTAAGTGGAAACTCTTGAGAGCACCCTGGACATGAGATCTTATGTGTGGCAGGTGCTATGGTTTTGCCATGTTATGTCCCTGGAAGTAAAAGTTCTTAGATCCATGTTGGAACGAGGGAAGCAGAGCACAATGCACTTTCACAGTGCAAAAAGTAACGACATCACTGACATTCTCTGAGGGAAGTTTCATGAAGTTTACCATATGAAATTAATGAGATGGCATGTAATAGACTGATCATATGGTAATCTTTTAGATATTTCTGAGACTTTGTTGTAATGATTAAGTTCTGTTTCATCTCATAATGCAATATGTATTCAGCAGTTGGCGTGACCAAATAAATGGTTAGTAACTATTTTGAATGCCCAAGGACAGGATTTAATACCCTATTTTAGCTAGTCATGAAATGCAAGCATTGGGATCACTCTCTTTGTTATATTTTGGCATCAAATGGTTTGGCTTGTGGAGCCACAAACCTCAGAGGGTTTTTGACCGGCAGGCGATCACAGAAATGACTGTTTCTTTGTCATTGTGGTGCTTCCCCAATTTGTTCATCATGCTTGCTTTGTCCATGGGATAAACGCTTCTCTCACACTGATCATGCAAAGTCCTCTTTCACAACCCTACCCTTTAGTGTATATTAATCATCACAGTTAAGATGGTTTTGTTTTTCAAATAAGATTAGCAGGAGAAATAAGATTGCAGTTTACTTATTATATATGCTAGAATGAAGTCAGCGCATGAAGGTAAAGGTGTTCCCTTACCTTAAATGATTCCTATATAAATAGTTGGTTCATTGTACGTTGAAGTATATTCCAAGCCATTTAAAAGGGCCTATCTTTTCCATCAGCAAGCAAAACAATAGAAAAGCCAAAAACATTGCTAAGGTTCTCATTGTTAATGATGTTATCTATTTTTTCACGTCTTTGGTAATGTCCCTTCTTTACACCAACCTCCCCCCACCCCCACCGCAGTCTTTCTTTTTAAATACAAAGTTAAGCCAACTAATACTTGATATGTTTTGGAGATCACAAGGACAAAACTAACAATGAGCCCAAACAAAACAAAACAGAAACAACTCTACTGCATCTGCAAAGAAATCTCTTTCTTAACTACTGTGAAGAATGAGATTGCTTCTGAAACAGAGGAGGAAACATCATTGCCTACTCCATTGCCTCAATAATACCAATATGAAAGACTATTCATCTGTTCCAATGCAGGGGACTGGCAAGATTATCAGAAGATCAATCTTTATCTTCCTGCAGAATTACCAATTTTACACTACAATAGCAGCAGTCCTCGCGTTCCCTTTTGCTGCCTCGGTTCTTCTTCTACAAGCATTCGTCCCCTCAACGTGTTTCCTTCGAGCATTCCATGATCACCTGCATTCTCTATTTGATGAAGCAGGATTACCATCCTCTTCAAAACTCTTCACCCTTTTGAATTCCAAGCTTTCTCAAACCTTTGCAATCTCTTTTCTTGCATTTCCTTTCACCCTTACCTCTCTTCTTTTCGCAAAGGCATCCGTGGTTGAAGCTCTCAGTGATCAGAAATCATCCAAGAAACCTGCATTTTCTTCTTTTTGCTCACTCTACAGTTCCCTTCTTCTCACTCAACTTTGCAACTCAATAGTCATCATCTCAGCAAATGCAACTTGTTTTACTCTCCTATTTTTCGCCTTCAATATCTTTAATTACGGATTTGACCTTTCATCTCCAAGATCCATTCTCTTTATTTCAGCAACAGGAGCAATAATTTGTTCGATCATTTTAGCCAGCACTTTGATCATCTGCAACTTGGCACTGGTATTATCAGGACTGGAGAACATAGGAGGGTATATGGCAATTCTCAAGGCTAGTTTTTTAATCAAAGGGAAAAATGCAACAGCATTATCCTTAGCCCTGATTTTCAACTTGGCCTTGGCTGCAGTTGAAGTTCTATACCAATACAGAATTGTCAAAGCTTATCATCATAAAAGAACAGGCTTTTCTGCTATTGTTTTGGAAGGAATGTTCATTGCTTATTTGTATGCCATTCTTCTGGTTCTTGATACCATTTCTAGCTGTCTTTTCTTCGAATGCTGTAAAACGAGTTGCCAGATGGATGAAGAAGGATGTTTTCCTTATCAAATTGAGATTGAAGACAGAGATCACCATGCAGTACTGTTGATAAAGAACTTAGAGGAGCTTTCTTGAATTTACTGAGTAATTCAACTGATTCTGTATCATGTATTATTCAGTTCTCATGTGAATTCGTCCAAATATAGGTTCCTACAGGAGTAAATATAGCTTCAAGAAGATCAACAAAGTGGCAAATTTCCTTCCAAATATTGGAAATTCAAACAGTAGATTATCAAGATTACAAGGTGTTCTTGAGTAACACGTGGACGTCCAAGTATGAAAAATAACAAGACTTCAAGATCAATGAATGAAGATATCATATTATTTTCCAAAATTTGATTCCAAGGAAGGTGGGAAACTAATCCTACAGCCTACATATTGTTACATTGCTATTGCTAAAAATACCTATTTCTATCCTCTTCTATGCTTTCTGTACAACTTTCCGTGTTGGATTCCCCTGACAAGGAACCCGTTTCTATGTTACAATGAAAAGAATCAACTAGAGATCTAAATACAGGGGTTAGTTGAGCTTTGTACAAACTATTCATGTCACACTTCCAATTTACATTTTGCATGGCATAATCTCCATCAGAGTGAACACGCCAACACTTGAGTAACTACATTTGCACTGACAACGACTCCATCGTGCATGTTCAACAAATGCATACCCAAATTTACATTCTTTAGATGCATTTCGCTGTTTAATCATGCAGCACACGCTCCAGGACGGACGGCAGTCATGATCACCCGTCAATAACAAAATCCAGGCGATCGATTATTGGACCAACGGGTTCCTTGCATCATCCAAGAGCTCAGACGACAGTGTGTTTTCTTGAGCTTCTCTCTGCAAAGCACTCCAAGAGCCCAGACAAGAATGTGTCCTTTTCAGTTTCCCTCTGCAAAGCACTTCTGCTATTTGCAGGTTCACGAGCTTTAATGTTCGACGTTCTTTCTTGAGCCCAGAGAAAGCCAAAGCCGATAGATCAATATTGGAGGCTTATGGTTTGACTTAAGACCAATGTCCTTAGTTAACCAACAGACAGAGGCCACATGACTCCAAAAATTCCCTGAAGCATGAATCATCCCCATTTACTTCTCATCCTTCTTTTTTAAGCTGCTTCTTTTCTGCATTCTCCATTTCGGCTTCCTTCTGAACTTTCTTCTTGTCTTGTTCAGCTTGCTTCAAGTTCTCCTCATGGGCTTTCCGGAATAACCTCACAAAATTTAAGAGGGTTGCAGTGACTGCAAAGTATGAAACAGATACCACACAACAAACAATTAGGAGTCAAACCTTCAAAAGCACTAGCACAGAAATGAGAATAACGATGCATAAATGAAGCATATATGGAATAAGATGCACCGGATTGAATAAAATTCAATGCCGACATAAATTCAGAATTTCTCTAGTAAACTCTTTGCATGTAACTTAAATACCAGGTGGTACAAACTAGTCAAATGCTGATTTGATTAATGTTAGCTCATTTTAACTAGAAAGGATAGTTTGAGTTCCATACACAGTATGCCCCGAATGGTTTGGCACACCCCTTGACAATGTAAACCTCTACTAGGAAACATCTCCACATATGCTAGATCTATCAAGTCTGATAACTTAGAAATCTTGTTGGCAGATCCATGTCTGGCATAGTCTTAATAGAAGCTAACATTATCTTCCTCTGAAACAGGCAGAGTATATTATGAAAAGGTTTCTATTTCCAAGACAATTAGCAGTCGCGTGCCTGTAATGCACCTACTATGTTTTCATATTTGGTAGTACTACTCTGAAGGACATCAAAGGCAACAATGTAAAGTTCACAACTCTAGGGGACCACTTTCATCAGCTCAATTTTGTTACCAGAAGGCCAATGAGGGGATAAAATATTTTGTACAAATGCTACCTTGTTCAAATGGACATTTGGCGGGATCCTCATTAAAATATAGTGCAAGTGCATCTGCATTTCTGCCCTGTGCATCAAGTACAACCATAAAACATATCATTGACACTATCGAAATTGATGCTGTAACATAATACAACAAAGAGGTAACTAAATGCAAAGGAAATTACCGCCACAGAATACAAATCCCGGAGAGATCCCACCTCTGCTTCAGATGCACCAATGAATTCCTTTAAGGTCTGGTTTACCGGACGTAGAAAATCAAACTTATAAGGACCAAAAGATGGCGCAGATTATACTAATTTCAAGTTAAGAAATGATTGCAACTTAATAGCCGCATGGTAATGAATCCTATCAACTCTTATGTTAAATGAATTACCGAATGAAGGAAAGAAAGTAGAAAATGATAAAAGGTAAAGATATACTACATGAGAAAGCCAAATAGTGCTAGTCCATCAAAATGCAGCTGCACGCTAAAAGACTATTCTATCAATCAATCAAGTAGGAGGAGAAAATGACAATCACAATTCTTTGTTATCTCCTATCCAAATGCAAACAGCAGTGCTTTACTTCTCCAGAATACTGTTACCCTCTTTTTTGGGAAGAGGGGAGATACGTCAGTGAAGACAGATAAGAAAAATTACTCACTAACAGCAACAACTTTCATCCTGCTGTCAAACCATTAGGGACTGATCGAGACATAAAGCTTCGTTTAATTTTATCAACTATCATAGGTGAATAATTGTAAAAACGATACACTTAAAGGGAGACCAAGGCGTTTGTGAAGAAAATGGACCATGGGCCTAACTCAACCAAAAGCTAGTTCATGAGGTGAGAATTGCTCAAGACCATATAATGAGACAAACAACTCATCCCTCATTACCAACTTTCACTTTGACCAATGAAAACTCTCACATATCACATAAGAGGTCGACTTGATTTGCTTAAAGTAATTCAAGTGCCAACTGTTTATTAAAGCTTGATCTGCTTTAAGGTTAAAAAATGGACCTTCTAAAGAGAGAGAGAGAGAGCGGGGGGGGCAAACATGAAAGGCTGTTCTTGGTAAAGGAAAATTTGCAACAGAAAAAAGACTTTTTGATCCAATTTTCAATTCTACAGGAAGAGGGAGAAAACTAGGAAGTCCAAAAATGCAGTATTTCAGATAAAACTGAGACATCATTTATGAAAGATTTACAAGCACCGTCTTACCTTGCAAAAGATTTCAGACACCAGGCCATCATTCGCGGATGACTCTAGTTCCTTCTTAACTTTTTCCAGCCCCTTGATGATTGCTTGCATTTCTTCTGCCAAAGACTTCAATTGAATCTGCAAGGATAAACTAATTTCTAATTAATCTGGATAAATTAAAGAAGTATCAGCAGAAAGAGATAGGTAGATAGATAACCTTTGATGCAGCTTCCATGCTTACAAGACTTTCATGGAAGTCTAAAAGATCTGGTGTCTTGGAAGCAAGAACCTGAGAAAAGAGAGATAATGTTAACATGACAACCTCACATAGTATAATCAGTTAATAATGCTTTTTTATCTCCTATGTTTTTCATCTTGGCAATGGAAGCATTGAGAAAAATGATGGATAAAGCAATAACAGGTGGTAACTTAGGTGGCGTCATCTCTCAAGATCAACTTTAGAAAGTGTGGGATCATCCTAGTGGGTGAAGTTGAGAACATCGGCAATTTATTACAAGTGTTTAATTGCTGGGTTTGGAGCTCTTCCCAGCAGCTACATCGGTTTGCCCTAGGTGTTCCAACAAGGACCAAGCGACACGGAATCCAGTGATGAAAAAAAAGTAGAAAAGAGGCACTCAGGATGGAAAACAAGGTATTTGTCAAAATGAGGAAATGCAGTACTAATGAAGAGCATACGATTAAGCATTTTCACATACTTTATGTCTTTGTTACAAGCACCAACCAGCATTACAGGTGAATTGGAATGACTTTAAGGGAACTTTTAGGTTCTCAGAAAATGACGCTAGGAGGTTTAACTTGATTCGTTGGGAGACTATAATGACGCAAAGAGTTCGTCCAGCCTTGGGGTGAAAAATGTCCGGGTTGTTAACAAGGCCTTGTTAGGGAAATGGCTGAAGTCGAGATAGAGAGAAGACTCTACAGATGGGGATGACAAAGGGAAAATATGGGTTTGTGAAAGGAGAATGGAGGACAAGATAAAACATACACTCCTCTTTGGCTGCGAGGAACATTTTGAAGGATTGGGGAAAAATTCAGTAATAGTCACTTACATGGCAGGGGAAGGGTTCAGGGTTAATTTTTGGGGGCACAAGTGGTGTGGAGATAATGCATTGAGATTCACAATGCCTAACAATTATAGCATTTCCAGCAAAAAAGAGACGACAGTCCAACAGGTTCAGAAGTTACACGAACGGGAGTCTCACTGGACTAAAGGACCGAAAGTTTAGAGGGAACCTTCCAAAATATGGTTGAGTTGTTCTATAAACAAATATAGCATGACAACTAGGATTCTGGGAGGTGGAAGGAGTGTAGTGGCCTTTTTATAGTGAAGTTTCATCCATAATAAACTCATGGACAGAAAAGAATCCGCAATTGTTAGCCAAAATACAGGGATTCTCAAAGGAATCCGAGGTTTTAGCAGCTGGACAAGAGCTTAGCGGAGAAGCTCGAGTTATTCAGCTATGGTGGATGAAAAGATAGAAGATGAAGAATAGAATTCCATCGGAAAGTGTACTTGTATATTCAATTGATGATTCAATCTGTAATGATACAATGCCTTATATAGAAATGAGAAAGAATCTTATCTTGCTAACTGCTTCTAACTAATCCAACAGCATAACTAACTACTCATAAGGCAAAACTAGCTAACTTGACCAGCTGATTCATTTATTGTGTAACAGCAATTTCACTTTATCAATTGAATTTCCTTTTCGTGCATCCATGAGATTCCAGTTTGTATAGAAGATTGAGGTATCTTGGTAGAGAATCATATTTTATTGTAGATTCTCTGCTTTTTGGTATGCCACGTGCATGCAAGAGTTTTCTCCCCCATCATAAAATTATTCTACCGTCTCAAAAAATAATTAATTAAACAGAGGGGAATCATGTGAACACAAGAACCTTTCTGGAAACAGCAAAGATGAAACGGACAGTACCTGGCAAAGATAATGCATGAGTGTCATCTTGTTGTTAGTAGCACGTGTATCAGCGAGCTTCAAAAGACTGTCCAACTTAAATCCAATGGCAGAACCTGGAGTAAAGAATTACATGGAATTTAATCTTGAAATTTTGTTGACCCAAACTTCAACATGAAATCAGGTCTTATGTTCCGTCGAACTAATTCAGCCACATAAATAAAGCATAATGTTCTTAGTGCAAGAAACAGTAGTAATTATAATCATACTCGTCTTTATACTCATAAAACACTGATTATATTTCCAAAATAAGAATTTACACTAAGCTTTCCAGATCCCAAAATGGTAAAATTGACTAACTTTGGAGCAAAACTATGAGTTAGCATCCTGAATATTAATTCATCTTTCCAAAAATTTGCAAAGGATATCAAATTAATGAGTAATGTGGCTTAACTTTCTTAGCTTGCACTCTGATCGTGAAACTAAATGGACTCCAATGGAGAAGAATGGATATAGAGGATTCATATTGACACCTCAACTAATTTTTGATTACCAAACAACATACTTAGGGTCAATGCTTATGCTACTTATTTAGGTAGAAAATGATATAAAAAATTGAAACCAAACTCCCCCTGAATTAATCAAAAAATTATTTCCCATTATAGCAACAAGCAATTATTGTTTTGAATTTTCCCCAAAACCAAAGAGCATTAAGTCCCAGTTGCAACATTAAAAAATAAATCCATTATTGTATTTAGAATAAAAGTTTCCCCATTACTTTATATTTGATAGTGTTGAAGGTTTTGAAAACCTACATGATGGGCATCAATGGTTGTAAAAAGAAAAGGGTTAAGTAATGCTCACTGAGACATTTTAAAAACAGGAATTCTTACCTCTGGCAGTTCCCTGATTTAACGTATTCCCAAGAAACAAAATTTTCTTCAATATCTCCTTCAATTTTAAAGAACTTCGGACCTGCTACATGCACATTGAGTTTTGTTAAAAATAAGATAAAAAGAAAGAACAAAGAAAAGATATGCAGAACCTAGCAAATTACCTCTTCGCATGCAGAGTTCACAGTGGTTAAGCTTTTCTTGAAGTCTGTCACCTGAAACGAAACTAAATTTAGATGACACAGAAATTACTTTAGTACAGAAGATCTCTAGATGCACACAAACCTGAGCCTTGAACTGAATCTTGAAAAGAAACACTCTTAATTTCGACTCTACTCGTGGCACCTTCATCAACTCCAAAAAGAACTGACAGTCAAAGGTAAAATCAGGAACACCGGAGAAGCATGGGATCTAAGCTAGAAGGTACTGTAAAATGAAAGCAAGTATCAGCTATTCCTCGAATCTTGAAATTGTAAGACCACCAATGGCAGGGAAAAGAAACAATTCTTACAAGAATTTCCCAAACGTGATAATGGAACAAGGGAGTACATCATAAATTGGACTTTGACCACTCTAATCATTCAATCATAAGAAGGTGTTAACATTGGTGAAGTCGTCATAATCATGAATATCTGTCACCTGCCATGGCCTCTCAACTCAGTTATCTCTAAAACATTGAGATTCAAATTAATTAATCTTTTTTCACCAGGGGAAGCCCACTACCGTTGTTAATGATTTTTTTAGAACTCAATAAGTTCATCATTTAGTCAGAACTACATATACTGCCTGAGCAATTAAAATTTGGTCAATGAGATCTCGTCAGTTTAGATTTCACAAACTTTATTATTTAATATTGTTAATTTTCATTGCTTTCTGTGCTGGTTAAAATATTCTCACTAGCCAAGGGAAAAGACCAACTTCCAATTATACTAAGGTGGCACAATGGTCAATGGATGTCAGTATATCAGAGGTGCAGGTTCTAAACTATGTCAAAGCAACTCCATTCTTCTTTCTTCTGTTCCCTCAAATTTGTGTAGGCCTCCTTTCTATTCTACCAGTTGCCAAAGTTGTTCAAATATTTTCTAGATCAAAGAACCCGTTTTCGGTCTTTTTTTGTTCTTTTTTTCCTTAGTTCTTTCTATTATTATTATTATCGAAATACCAATTCATGCAACATGCTCATTAGCTCTCTGCTTTCCACCTCCTCTTATATTCTCTGCACTCCCTATCAACATGACACACTCTTCTTTCCTCCCTCTCACTATGACACTCATAGACAATCTACTACTGTCACATATCCGAAAGCTTTTACAGAAGTTGGTAAAAACTTTTAAATGCGGCAGTAGGCTAGAGACCAGCAGCAGACGTTGAGAGGAAATAGCTAGGACCAAATAATGGTCGTTACGATGCACGGATGCATACTAGACTTAGACAGGATAGGGCCCTTAATTTTTCTATCAGAATATTAGAATTCATAAGGAGCTCTTGTTTCATTCATGTTATAAGCTTTGTATGACATCTGTTTCAAACTGAATTTGGTAAATGATTCTTTCATCAGACAGGTTGACACTCACAATGGAGATTTCAGCATCAAAATGGAGAAAACTCCTTTGTTTACTTCCAACAAAGTTTATTATGCTTTAGTTCATTAATGAAAAGTAATCTCAGAAAAATTGAAACTTCTGTCACCAGACCAAATAGGTAAAATATGTAACCATATTCAATCCCCTTAGTGGACACAGGAAAATTCTTACTTAAGCCTTGTTCGCCAACCTTTCTCCCAAAATCATGAATAAATAGAGGCTTAGTTTACGAAAGGTTTCTTTATACCAAATTCAGTTCCAAAATATATGGTTGAATGCTTCCTGAAACAATCCCAACTTCATAGAGAAACCATGACAACATATCATAGTAAAGAGAGATGAAAACTTTAAAACGATAGGCATTTATAAAATATGACATAAAACAAAGATCATCATCATGCAGTGATTAGATAGGAACTATAAAACTGATGGTCTAACCTGTTCACACTTTCCCAGAAGCTCCTTGTCACCAGTGTAACCCTGAGTAGTTGTATTAGTAAACAATCATTTAAAAGTAAGAATATATAATACTTTTCAGAGATATCAACTGAGAGAGGGAGGAGACTGAAAGGAGTAGAGGAGCAGAAAAGAACGAGAAATCAAAGTCAGGACGGATAAGATCTTCAGATCAGTAAACTTTACCTTAAGAAGATCCATCTCTTCTTTCGTAGGACAAAATTTTATCAGATTCTCCACCTGATCTGCATCTAAAATTGACTCATCCATTGCCAGTGCAGCTGCCTATGGCCATAACAGAACCATTGTCATTGATTTTACAAGAGAGGACTAGAGGACAAGCATGAATATTAATCAATTAGCTTGGCCCCAATCTAATACCAGTTGGGTATGCTATATGCATGCTTGATATGCATTTTTCTTTATTTAGGCCTGTTTCTTATTCGATAAAAGTTTGTCTTTTCTTGAAAATTAGGGGTTCTCTAAACCTCAACCTTCTACACCGAAATCATCAAGGGACAAAGCAAGAATATTCAAGAGAAAGGGAATTAGAGCCCAGTGTGTACAACCACGGAGGAAAGGAAGTTTCTAACTCTATTTTCTGTTCTCCTTTAACCCTGATTTCAGGTTGTACACATTTCTAGTACACCTTGACAAAGAAGGACACAATGTAGCCGCAATTTGCCACATTGTATATCAAAGGACCAAAATAGTTGAAAGAAAAAGTAGAAATATGAAGGAGAACTAATAGAAGAAAGGAAAGTCCTATCATCATCTTGCGTGGGGTCCTAGACCATTTGAACCACAATGAGAAGTCTAATTAACAACAAAGTAGATTCCACATTAACATATCAACCTCATTCCGAGGCTGAGGATTCCGACAGCCTGAGAAATTCTTCTTTTCTCTTTCCAATGAACAAATATAAGTTGGATTAAGAGCTAATACCCATCTATATCAATTATTCCCCCTACTTTACAGGTATTGCTGTATTCTTTTCAAGCTTAAAGGAAAAGAGGAAAAATAAATGAATGGTCTCTTATACTAGACTTGATAAGGATGGGTAGTTTGACTGGGCACCCCAAACACATTTAAAATATATCAGTTTTTCTTTCTGTATAACCCAAACATAGTCTGAATTATGTGAACCATGCTTACATGACCAGGTAGCTTTCCTTTTGTCACTAGTATTCTTTTTCCTCTAGAATTCTATGATGTGATCTGGAAGAAATGTTTAAACTAGTTGGATATTGGAAGAAGCAAATAATTGAGTTAGGTCACTGACAAGGGATCGGTCTTTCCCCTTTTACTATTAGCCATGAGCAGTTTAAAACTTGATACCTGCAGTGCAGTCTGTGACTTGTAAGTGAGCTGAAAGACGTGAAATTCAGAAAATTTGAAGATATAGACTCTCACTATCCTAAACAAAGATATAGAATCCCACTATCTTATTCAGTTAGATTGCATGACTTAACCCCCAACCCCCTCTGTGTGTGTGGGCATGCGCAACAAGACAGGGAGTTATTTTTCTGTGAAAACAAAGGAGACAGGCCTTCAAAAAAGAAAAATAAAGAAAATAGAAAATATTTAAGAGAAGCACTAAACTAACCATCATGTCTGGAAGTGGCATTTTCACCTTTGTGAGCATAATCTCTGTATTGTTTGCCCTTCTTAGGTCAACCTACCGAAGATACACAAAGAAAAGTAATTAGGAAAAGACGAATTCATGTGAGACAGAAATAAAACAAAGAAAAAGAGTTCCTCAAAATAACTAATGTCAAATTTTCATAGAAAGAAACTACAGTCAATCATCTAAGAAGGATCTGGCAAAGAAAAAAAAGAAATAATCATGACAGAACCAGGAGAGGCCGCAAGAATAAAGCAACAAAATAAATAGCAGTCCTTTTTTGTTAGATTCTTTGCAGATGGTTCCTAGAAGAAAGGCATTGAATAGTATTAATTACCAGTTGAACCTTGTCTGGCTTAGAATCAGCAGACTTCTTCTTTGCTCCAGATTTACCCGCACTACTTGCCTTGGGGGTGGCTGAGAAAAGAATCTCAATTTCTGACACATCAAACTCTGGTGCACTTGATTTGGAGCAAAAGTTATCAGTATTTCAATTGAGTTGAATATAAGCACTGTCAAACTAAAATAGCATGGAACATACACTTGAGGCCCTCCATGTCTCTGCAGTTCCTCCCATAGGCTTCCCTGTAGTGCCCTGGTTACCTTGCTCCAGTGCAATGGTTTTAAATTAGATCTTGACCGTGAAAGTGCTGGAGCTCTCCCAGCAGGAAGTCCTCTGCCGGCTGCCCCAGGTCCTTTAGCGCCAAATGGTGGTGGTGGGGGAGGTCCACCACCTGGTGCTCTTGGAGCTCCAGGAGGGGGAGGTGGACCAGGTGCACTACCTCCAGGAGGTGGTGGGGGAGGTGGACCCGGTGCTCTACCTCCTGGAGGTGGTGGAGGAGGTGGTGCTCCGCCGGGAGGAGGAGGAGGAGGAGGTGGTCCTCCACCACCAGGGGGAGGAGGAGGTGGTGGAGGACCACCACCAGGGGGAGGTGGAGGAGGTGGAGGGCCACCATAGGAGGGAGGTGGAGGAACTGGTGGACCACCATAAGGGGGTGGTGGAGGAGCTGGTGGGCCACCGTAAGGGGGAGGTGGAGGAACTGGTGGGCCACCGTAAGGGGGTGGTGGAGGAGCTGATGGGCCACCGTAAGGGGGAGGTGGTGGAGCTGGTGGGCCGCCATAGAATGGAGGTTGAGGAACTGGAAGGATGCCACAAGGTGGGGGAGGAGGAGCTGGAGGTGGTGGTGGAGCTCCTGGTAATGGAGGAGGAGGAGGCGGTGGAGCTGCTGATAATGGAGGAGATGGTAAAGGTGCAACATGCAAAGGAGGGGAGGAGGTGGTGGTGGTGCTCTAGATAAAGAAGATGGGGTGGAAAGAGAATGAGGACAAAGAATTGAAGGTGGAGTATTGTACGGAAGGGGTGGAGGAAGAGGAGGGGGAGGGGGAGGGACAGTTGGTGCTGAAACATTTCTTGAAGGAAGTAAGGGTGGAGGAGGTGGAGGTGGAGGCAGAATTAATATCGGAGAATTTCTTGAAACAGGTTGGTGTGGAGGTGGAGGTAGAGGTGGAGATAGAGGTTGAGTTGGGGTCGGATCATTTCTTGGTGGAGGGGGGGGGAGGGGGAGGTGGAGGCAGAAATTGCATTGGAGAATTTCTTGAAACAGGTGGGGGTGGGGGTGGAGGTGGAGGTGGAGGTGGAGGTGTAGATAGAGGTGGACTTGGTGGAGGCGAAGATTGTAGAGGTGCATTTCGTGAAGGAGTTGAGGTAGGTGGAACTGAATCATTCTGTGAAGGTGGTGAAGGAGGAGAAACCTGCACAGGAGGTGGGGGAGGTGAAGCTGAAGCACCAAGTAAAGAAGGTAGCTCAGGTGAAGAAGGAAGTGGTGGTGGTGGTGGTGGTGGTGGTGGTGGAGCACTCATTGTTAGCAAAGAAGAAACTCCAGGCACAATTGGAAATGGTGGAGGGGCACTGTAAATTGCAGGTATAGGGGGAGGGGGAGGAGGTGGTGGTGGTGGAGTGGATATTCTAAGACTTTCTAGCTTTGGTGCAGTGGGTGCATGTGGAGGTGGAGGTGGAGTTACTGCTACCAAGGAGGATGCTGCACAAGCCACATTTGGCGAAGAAGTGGGTGAGGGGGTTGGTGACAATACCCTACCAACTTTCAGTACAGTAGATAATGTGGGTGGTAAAGGTGGGGGAGGAGAGATACCCATATGAGCCATTCTCAAGCCATTTGATGATGGAGGGGAAGGCGGAGGTGGAGGCGGGGGTGGTGGTGAAAAGGATTTGACATTTTGACTATGAGAGCTACCTCTATGAGTCTTTCTCAAGCTGTTTGATGGTGGAGGTGGAGGTGGAGGTGGAGGTGGAGGTGGAGGTGGAGGTGGGGGTGGTGATAAGGATTTGACATTTTGATTACGTGATAGGATTTGAGAAGGCGGAGGTGGGGGTGGGGGAGGTGGGGGAGGGGAGGAGTGGTGGGTCAAAGAAGCAGTTATAATATGGTCTTCCTGTGAAGACTCAGGTGGCGTTGCAGAAGCTGGCGTGTTAGTACTTACTTCCTGAATAGGAGGCAATTCAAGTGATAAAGTACTTGGATATTGAAATGAAGGTAGGGGACTTGAAGGGGATGCCTGAAGGTCAAGTGCCTGACTCTCAACTGATTCTGATGAAGAGGTCATTGCAACAGGTGCGTCCTTGACTGTTGACATGTCTAATGATGCAGGACATGAAGAGCGTTTCTTTGGAATACGACCTGCTCCAGCTAGAATTTTAGCTTCTGAAGAAGCTCGAGGAGAGGGCGATTTTGATTTAAACCCAGATTGAGAATCCTTTGTAACAGCAAGCGCAGGTGGAGCACTCTTATACCTTGATGCTGGATATGCCACATGCATTGAATTAGCGTAAGAACCTTTATTAGAAGGGATCCACCGAGACACTGCACTTGGCTTTGCTAGTCGCGACAGAGTTCCCAGGGATTCTTTCTGTTTAGATTTATTTTTAGGTCCAATCCCATCCACAGCAAGTTTGGAGTTGGATGCTAGTTGTTTCTTTAGAGATGAAAGTGCCTTTTCATTCTTTCCCTTATTGATATCAGCTGTAAACTGTGAGCCCTGCCTCTCCTGTCTCAAGGGGCCTTCTACATCTTGCTTATTATATCCTTCTTGTGACATGACACTTTCCCCCGGTGTTTCTGCTTCTGAGTCTTTGTGACTAGAAACATCAGAAATAACAGCCTCGGAGTTTATCAAGTTGTCCTTATCCCCTAAACTATTTGTTTTTGATGCTTGTTGAGTAGAATCCATATTTTCTTCTAGTTTGCGATTACCTTCAACAAATGCACAGTCTTGAAAGGCATGATGCTCCAACTCTTCTTTCCATATTTCAATGTTGTCATCATCCTGCATACTGTCCTGAACTGAATGGGCATCAGATTCCCCTCTTCCATCCTGTCCATCAACAGCATTGCTGAATATCTCTTCCACCTCAAAGAACTCGTCCGGTGAAGCTCCTTCAGTCTCATTATCTTCCTCATCTGGTGCTTCAGTAGTGATAATAGGTAGAAGAGCATCAGCATCCGAAAAGAGTACCTGGTACAGTAATGAGCATTACTCAACTCCTGTAGTTCCTGTTAAAGGATAATGAAAAAAGAGCCAAGTTCAGAGGAATAAATACCAAACCTCTGCTTTGAACTCCCTGGAAAATTGGTCTTTTGCATCCCATGGGACATCAACTTCATCACGAGTTAACATCAAAACATTTGAGCGAATAAATGCCGTGTGAAACATAGCTCTGAATATCATTACTTCCCTAACTAAATCATCTTCCAAATGGATGCACTCAAGAACAACATCTCCTTGAACACGACAGTGGATATCTATTTTCACAAGTGCACACTCTTCCTGGGGAGGGTAAGTCAGCAGAATACATCAGATTTCAGCTAATTACCTGTAAGTCTCAAACATTTGAAGCTTAGCATTACCTGTCGGTAGAGGTGACCATGTTGTTTTGTCTTTGAAGTTGAAAAGAGGAGTTTAGAACTCCTATTGGACGTCGGTGAAGCAGGGTCCAAACCATAGGCACGAACCATCAGTCGGCAGCCCCTCCCACCATCAAATTGAGGAAGGACCCTGAGTATAATACAATCTAAAGCAAAAGGTATATCTGATGGCAGCCAATCTAAGCCAATATTTCTTCTGGTGATATAGTGAAGATATCTAAGCTGAGATGGCTGTGGATTCAGAGGTGATAAAACATAAAGAAGTTCCCTAGGAGCTTGCCTGTATACCATGTCAAGAGTCTTCTGCTCACCGGTGTACTGTTCTCTGTACAAAAGAAGACCAGCAAGCATGAAAGCAAGTACAGGCCACCCTCCCCTCTCACAGTGCATCAACAGCACATTTTGTTGGCCCTCGATTGAAAGCCAGCTCTCACTGGATCGCAAGAAGTGCTTGATCATCTCCAGTGGCAATACAGGACACCCCTCATATTTCCGAGGATAATCCATGACAGTCATATCATACTGCGTTAATATATCTGATATTTGGCTCCTGTGATCTCCTTCTTTGAAATTAAAAACCATGAAAGAAGCATCTGGATAATGATCCTGCAGCTGAGCTACAATACCTCCCATGTATGTCTTGTACTCATATTCGTCCAATGCGTCCGTTGAGAAGCAACAATCAAACACTGCAATGTGTGAATCAAAACGAAAAGCAGAAAAGCATCAATAGTCATAAAACCAACCACACAAATTATTGGTCCGAGTTACATCCACCATTAAGTTGATAAAGATAGTAAGCTCTACAGATATCACTCAAAATTGTAAAAGGAAGTTCACCTTCCAAGCCACAGAGCACAATAGCTCGGCAACAACAACAAAATATCACAAGCGGGGTCTAAGAAGGGTAGAGCATATGCAAACCTCACCCCTATTTTGGGATGTAAAGAGGTTGTTTCCCATAGACCCTCGGCTTAAAGAAAAGCATATCAAAGCAGATTGAAAAAAGAAATAACAGAAGTAAAGAAATCATGGCCACAAAGAATTCTGAAAAAAATACAGTAACTACAACTGAGCACAATGGCTAGGCAAACTACCAAAATGATGGAGCATCAGATTTTCAGTATTCTTTTAAAAACTATATATTCATTTTCAGCTCATTAAGCAATTTGTGATATTCTCATTGTTAAACTCAACCACAAACATTTCGAAATGTAGCTAACTATGATATGAATATGATCATATAAGCATTTGTTTTTAAAACAGCTGGAAATTTTTTTCCCGGGAAAGTTCCCTGTTTCTGTAAAAATGAACTTTTTCAACCAAAATCGAAAAAATTATTGCAAAAATGTAGGTCATCGAACACCTTCTCATATGAACAAAAAAAAAACAGAGAAATATCAAAAAAACAACAGGATTTGGGGAGAAAAAACATACCATAGACCCGTTCAGAGATCTCTAGAAGCCGATCCGGCGGCTTCCGATAGAAGAATCGTCTGAACAGCGCCATCTAATGGCGCCGTTTCTCTATCAATCGCATAAAAAAAAAACTCTTGGGTTTCCTTTAACTTTCCGAATGCACACCAATTGATCGCTAAAATGTCTCAATGGATCCTCAAAAAATACGACATTTGGAATAACAGGGTCGATGATCAATGGGGAGCTGGGTTTTTTGTTAAAATAAAAGCAGCTCAGTTTAAATTGAAAGAAATGAGGAAGAAAATTGTTGTATTAAGAAAGATTTAGAGTAAGGGAAAGTGACAGTAAATTGAATGAAAAATTGAAAGAATTTAGGGATTAAGAAAATGCAATGAAAATGATGATCATTGCCATTGATGATGAAAGTCGTAAGAGAAACATGAACCGGATTCGGGAAACTGACCCGAACCTGTTACGGTCGTTGTTCGTTACATTCGACGATCTAAGGTATATTATGTACACGTGGCGTATGCCCACATCCCTGACACAAAGAGAATGTCAGAAAGGAAATCTTAGTTTTTTGTTTTTTACAGACAAAAGACCGACATCTTTATAAATCAAAAAAGTCATTATTTGAACCAGAAATAGTATTTTGTCCTATTAGGAGAATTTCCTTTCCTTCTACTCCATTATTTTCTCTTGTTTAATTTAATTTAAAATATTTATTAACCAGAAAATAAAATGTACCTCATTCAGGCAGGGATGTACATCGGTATTAACAATTTTGATTTTTGAAAATATTATATCATCATTTAATATGGTTAGACATTTTTAGTTTGGTATCCATATTTTGTGGTATGAACTTACATTATTAATTATATAGTAAAGAATTATGACTCAATTTTTCAACAAAATCTCAATTATATCATATTATTAACATTTTAAATATGTAGAAATATTCGAAAGAAAGTACATATAATTCCCTTCCGTTAACAATTACATAAAAGAACATTTTAATAAAGTAATCAAAGGTTTCTATTGTCTAAATAAATACTCCATTCGTTCATATTTACTTGTCCACTATACTATTTTGAGATGTTTAACTATACTTGTCCAATTTATAAAATCAATGAATAATTTATCATGTTATGCCTATTTTACCATTGATATTAAATCCTATTTATTTTTCAATGTGTAGATGACTTATAAATATTAAATCATTTCTATTATTTATTGTTTCTTAATCCATGTGTCAAATTAGTAGTGAACAACTATTGTTATATAGAGGAAATAGTTTATACTAATATTAATTTATAAATTTGTTAGTGTTGTAATAATATTTACCGAGTTGTACATGTAATTATATATTTTCGGTACTTGGTATTTTAGTTTATTTAGATATGAAATGTAACCAGTTTTGTTTTGCGAAAACAAAATGATTCATATTCGTCTATACTTTTAATCCTCTATACTTTTCGGTCAAAGGATATGATGTGCGATGATTGAAACTAATTGGAGGATATTTTGTAGTTTATAAAGTTGAAAAATTCACACACCTTGACACGTGATAGCACGTTTATTTTTCTAAAAATAAAATTAAGTAGAATATATGATTGACATTTGATTGCAGATTTTTCTAAAAATAAAATTAAGTAGAATACACGTTGTATTCGATATTCAATATTTTTTTCATTCTGCATTTTTCAAGAAATTAAAATTAGTTCATTTAGCTTAAATGGCGAGGACAAGGCCGTTAAGGGACTAGCTCACTTAATTTATTTTATGTTTTGCGCAGAGGTGGAGGATTCAAACGCCGTCAACAACATAGAACTCTATTATCATTTCACTGATGTAATAAACGTTATTATTTCTATATACAAAGTATAAAGTGAAAAAATAATAATAGGTTAATAAAGTTACGAGCCCACAAAATATTAACCATGTTTTTTTTAAAGAATTTATTTCCTCACAATTTCTCAGGGTTTGGAATTTGGATTAGTTCCTCTAGGATATATAGAAGTGAACATTATTATGTTATACTGGCAATCCAAATTACAGAACTTTAGTGAACTCAACAAACGGATCTAGCAAATGACATGACAATTATTCTTTGTCTTTAAAAATGAGGGGAAGAAGAAGAATATGTTTGTTCTTTAAGAAGAGGACGAATTTTGTCAACTTCTAAAAGTCTATAGCCTAAGTAATAGGTGCAAAGATACATGTTCAGAAAAAGAGGGGTTTATTTGGTCGCAAACGACTTTCTTTTTGGGGAAAATTCGCGATTAAGCAAACTTATACAACTTAATTACTCATCATAACTATAGTTTGCTATAATTACCACTCGCAACTAACATTATACATTAATTACGTAGGCTGGCTTCGAGTTTGTATAATTAGTCACGTTTGTATATGTATAATTCTCCAGAATATACAAATACATATGTATAATATACAATTATCTAACCGATATACATATACAATTCACCTCTCTCCCACTCTCTCACTCGCCTCTCTCCTCCCTCTCCCAATCTCACTTGCCATATATACAAATGCATATGTATAATATACATATACAATTCACCTCTCTCCCACTCTCTGCCCTCTCTCGCTCGCCTCTCTCCTTCCTCTCCCAATCTCGCTTGCCTCTCTCCTCCCTCTCCCAATATCACTCGCCTCTCTCCTCCTTCTCCCAATCTCGCTTGCCATATATATAATATACAATTATCTAACCGATATACATATACAATTCACCTCTCTCCCACTCTTTTCCCTCTCTCTCCCAGTCTCACTTGCCTCTCTCCTCCCTATGACATGTAGCTGTGAATTGTAATTATTAAACTATAGTTATGGAGAGTAATTAGGTTATTTTTGAGTGTCTATAGGTGAAAGTTCCTCTTCTTTTTGCCCAATTTGGGCCAATGACTATGGACGCAACCTTGTCGAAGTTAAAATAAAGCCCACTACTGTTGTGTAAGAGTACTCCACCAAAAAATGTGTAAACTAAAATTGAATTATTAATCTTCAGTCGGTGATATTGATAACGCAATAACACAATACTAATTGATTACTTTTCATTTTACACGATACTCAAGAAATCATAAATAAAATGATCAATTTAACTAATTTAATCTTTATCCATATGGATGGATATCAAAATAATTTATGATGGCATAAAGCATACAAAAGGAAGTGGGTGAGAGCAAAAGTATTTAATGAACTCTTTGATAAAATAAATTCTAGGAACTTTAATTTTATTTAAGCTTCCAAAGAGAAATTATGGAAACATTAAACATGATGATGATATTAATTATTGGGGTAAAATGGAAAAAAATTAATTAATTTTATCTTGATTTAGTAAGTAATCAAGTAATTATTTGAGATAAATATTTTTAGAGAGGTGATTAATTAATATGGAACGGAGGAAGTAATTACTGTGCAATCACAGATCATAATTAAGTTTACTTGGTGTGCACGAATAGTTGGCTTACTAATAGTGGGAAAAATATTTTTTTTTGCATAAATTAGATCCTTCGAAACAAGTCGAATACTACAAATAATCATTCAAAGGGGATTGTAGTCCAAAATTGACGAACAAAATTAGATAGAGAGAGATTTACTTATTAAATCTCTTGTATTTTTTTACGTACAAACAAAATAATGCATGCCTTTCTTCAGCGTTCACACGTGATGTTGAACGCCTGCCACGAAAGGTCGTCTTCAAGTGCCTTTAGTTAATTTACGAGTTTAATTTGTTGTGATTTTTAAAATAAATAAATAAATTGAAGTGCAACTTTCATATATAGCAAATACAAAATTCATATTTGTATGTTATAGCAAAGTTTGCATAATTGCGCTCCATAGCAAACATATATATGTATAATTCACTATACATATACAAAAAAAACAGTTGTATAATTCGCTATACATATACAAAGAAGACAATTGTATAATTCGCTATACATATACAAAAGAAAGCAATTATACAAAAGATCAATTGTATAATATGTGTATGTATAAAACAAGAAAGAGAGAAAGGCAAAAGAAAATTCAGCAGGAAAATATTTGTATTGTATAATTATAAGTGTATAGGATGAAGATATGTATTTGCATGTGTATATACAATTTTCTCTCGCTTTATACAAACAGAAGTGCAATTTATACATTTCGTTTCTGTTTGTATAAGCGAGAGAGGCGAGCGAGATTTGGGAGAGTGACGAGCGAGATCTGGGAGAGGGGAGAGAGGGGAACGAAAATATATGTATATTATACAATTTCCTCTTGCTTTATACAAACACAAACACATTTTATACATTTGTGTTTGTATAAAAGCGAGAGAGGCAAGCGAGACTGCCACCAAACAAGAGTGGCGAGCGAGATTCCACCAGGGAGAGTGGCGAAAATAGCAATAGTTTGTTATAGGGTATAATTAAATCAAAGTATATTTATAGCATTTAATTTGAATTAATAGTTTGCTATTATATACAATTTTCCCTAAATTGAATCTTGTGATGTTTAAAGATGTGTATTGTATTAACATTTTCTTTCGGTTGTACTACTATGTCAGGTAGGATATTGAGTGTAATTAAGAAATTAATGTGTTTGGATCTATTTTTTACTTTTGATTTATTTTTATTTTGTCTTTAAAAATAAGTACTTAAATTTTTGTTTTTATTTTTATCCAAATACAACAAAAAAGTTTAAAAGTTATTTTGTCTTAAAACACCTAAAATAAGTCAATTCAAATGTAGAAAAGGAAAAAAAAAATGAAACGAAGGATACTATGTATATTTGGACTCATCATTGAAGAGAATATTTGAAAATCTTCAACTAACCCACCAATAATATATATCTTCTTCTTTTAATTTTAATTATATATTAAATAATATAATATAATATCTAGAGGCATGTTCTTCTTCTATTTATTGGTTTGCTATGCATAACAAACCCTGGCTCAACTAATTAAAGTTACGAACTCATAGGAGAAGAAAGATGAGTATACATGCTGAAGTCCCAAATTAAGAGTACAACCTAATGATCACTGATTCACTGTAATTGGAAAATCTTGAAAGACCACCTTATTATATTTATAATTAATTATAGTATTAAATTTATATGATTTGATATAAATACTGCGGATA